CCCGCAACCGCACCTGATGGGCAAATCTTCGCTAGACCAAGCCGCGCACTTAGCTACCGAGAAGTGAAGAAAGTCGGGCGATTCCGTTGGGAGGTACTAGTTGATTGAGAAGATACACCAGAGGAAGAGGCGACTTGGGAGGACTTGGACGCGATGTGCGAAAGGTTTCCGCCTCTAGTCCTTGAGGACAAGAAAGCACTTGAAGAGGACGGAAATGATGAGGATATGGCTAGGCGCCTGAAGAACACCGCGAGTCGGGATTATCACGCTCGCAAACGGCTGGCTCGACGGACCGCGGAGGCCAACGCGATAGGCGCGAGAGAAGCGCGCGCGAGGAGACCGCAACCGAGCGCAACGCGTGCGAGCACGCGGGCAGGTGCGACAACGCGCGCGAGGGCGACGCCGAGCCGGACCGCGCGATGATGCCGCGTGGAGGGATTGCACGCGCAAGGATTGAGACCCTAGTCATCGAGGAATGCGGCAAGGCACGCGATGAAGAGACTAACGCGGCTAGGGTTCCTATGCTTGGCATACAGACTAGATCCTTTAGGACTCCTTTAGATATTTAGTTTTCTTATTGCTTATGATTTTTAGATTGTTTAGGACTTTAATTATTTATTGCTTTATTAGGAGATTTAGATTGATTAGGACTAGATTTATTTGAAGCCTATATAAAGGTACATGCTATTGATATTTTTCATCATCGAATTATTAATAAGAAAATCTAACTTCTTGTTCAAATTCTTGTGTTAGATTTCTCTTGATATTTAGCGCAAAACCCTTGACACGAGAAGGGCGTCCACCGCATTGCTCGAGCAAGACGAGTTTGGCAAGGACGAACGTCCGAGCTGTCTCACCTATCGCGAGAAGATAAGGAGTTAATCTCTAAGTCGTCCGCACCATCGCTGAAGATCGACGCTCATGCAACGATCGAGGCGGAGTCACGAGTCGGGACACGCAGTTATTCATCACGCGCTCAGTCCGTGTCTGCGAGCCTGTGTCCGCGCCTCTCGCGCCCAGACAGCATGCACGGCGCCCGGTAGCGCCATGCGGGTCCCCGCGTACAAGGTCTCGCGCCAGAGCCTCGTGTCAGGCCTGGCGCGGGAACCGAGGCCGGTCAGCCCGAGCAGTGCCCGACCGCCCGGTTCATAGTGAACCGGCGGTCCAGTCCGGTCTAGTCAGTCAGCGAACCGGCCGGTTCGACCGGCGGTTCGAGTCAGTTTTGGTTCGTGAGTTTGAGTCCGAGTCTCATTCCAAAATTTAAGTACTTTTCCGAGCCAAACTAGTCCAGTCAAGTATGCCAGTCTAATATCTGGACTCAGTATACTTCAGCGAACCATTTGAGCATTCCCTATCATCCGGATAAGTGAAGAAATAGAACCTAGCATCATAGCATATATCATTAAGCATTCCGAGCATATACTTAGCATATATTTGCTTATATGTTTATGTAGCTTAAGGAGATTCGAGCCTCCGACAGCTACTTCAGTATTCAAGCGCTTGCAACAAAAATTTACAGCACATCATGTGGGAACCTTTATAGGACGTTACATTGCGCATTTCAGTTATTCTTTATGAGGTACGTGAGTAAGTTAGTTGCCCAAACGGTGGAATTATCCCGTTTGTGGTCCAGTTAGTTCTCCCAGGTGAGAGGCCGAAGCAAGGGCCTTTCCAGATCCATCTGGTACCTGGCTGGAGGCTTAGGCCTTCAGTGTACGGGTGTGTGCACACGAGCGGCCTAGGGCCGACAAGAGTCTTTTGACCACAGTTTAATCATGTGCACAGAAGCGGCCAAGGCCGAAGGGTCTTTGACCACAGTTTTAGTTCCTGTGCGCAGAAGCGGCCGAGGGCCGAGGGTCTTTTGACCATATATTTCAGTTCAACTCTTATATATTGATGCCATGATCTAGTGTATTATTGATGCTGTCTTATTCAGTACTAGTCTTGCGGAGATGTGGGGTTCATGTACTGGATTCCACATCATCTTTAATATCTGTACCATGACTAAGGTATGTTCGAGACAGTTATTTCTCCCAAGATTTGGAGGCCGAGGGCTTTAATTTTACGGGTTGTGCACACAAGCGGCCGAGGCTGACAAGGGTCTTTTAGACCACAGTTTAAGTTCAAGAAAAGTTTACAGTACATCAATCTTATTTATTATATGCTTCTTTTAAGTTTATGTTTACATTTAAGATTATTACAGTTCTAGTTTTCCCACGAGCATGCAGATGTGCTCATACTCCCACAGTTTTTCCTATATCAGGTGAGAGAGTCCAGCGTGCCGGGTGAGCAGAAGTGGCAAGTGTAGTCATGAGCAAGAACATTTTTATACGCATCTTTATTCATGATCATGTATTATGTTGTATGCGTGTATTATGTATGTTTTCAGTATTAAGCTTCCGCTAAACTAGACAGTGCTAGACAGTCAGACTACATGTGTGATTCCATTATCTCCACAGTGGATTGATTTGGTTGCATGTTTTATTTATGTCTAAACGAGTAAGATAAGAAAGTTTTTGTAGCATCCCGCAAGTAAGAAAGTATTTTTGAAAACAAGTTCGCACGATCTTTCGAAAATAAAAGCAAAAATTTTACTCTGATTTTGAAAGCTAAGTAAGGCGGGGTGTTACAGCTTTTAAGACCTAGACTTGCCTCATTTATTAAACATGTCAGACCAACTTAGCCTGTTTTAAGAATTGGGCAAGTCTGACCCTCCTCAAAGACTAGAGCGGGGTGGGCCAGTTCGTGCGCATGTTAAATTGGCATTTTTAATAGCATATGGAGATTTCCTCAAAAATGTAATTCAGAGTGGAATCGTGTTCAGGTAACATATAAAAATATGTCTTTATATTTAAGGTATCACTTTCTGTAACGCTCCGTTCCTTTATGGAATATTTGGGTTTTTTATTTAATATTATTGTCATTATTATTATTATTTTTATTATTGTTATTATTATTTTATTTAAATGCCTAATTGTCTATTAAATGCTTAATTGTGTATTATTATTATTATTATTCATATTATTTTATAATGTGTGAAAAATATTTTACAATAATAGCCAAATTTTATTTTTATTTTATCGAGCGAACCAAGCCATTTTATATTGGCTAAATCAACCGAGAAATTGAGCCCGAGAGCCGAATATATTTTTTTATCTCGAACCCGCATTCGAGTCGGGCCAATCAGCCGAACCCGGCCCAACCGAACCTTCCTAAATGTGTGAGTATATATTATCCCCTCGCTCGTTTTCTCTCGACATCGGTCAAACCCACGTAGCTTTATTTTCCCTCAAGCAGATTTCTTTTTCTTCCTCTTCACGATCATGCACCTTCATCATCGTTTTTTTTTCTCCTTCTCGTTTTCGGTCAACCCTGATCGGCACCCCCTCATCGCCATCATCATCCTCGCCGAATCTGACGTTAATCTTTCATGTTCAGTCTGTCACCATCATCGGCATCCTCGTCATCCGATCATCTCCAACAGCTCGTCGCCACCATCATCAATGCACAACAACTCGCGAATCGAACTCCGGCGACCCCTCTGTTCGCGATTTTCCGGCGATTCCAAGTCCGTTCAGCACCTCGACGAGAAGCGACCTCCGGCTGTGACATAGTAGCAGCGTCGAACCCTCCTCCGCGAGATGAAGCTTAGCCGTCGAGCAACCGCCGTTAGCCACCGCGAGTTCGCCTCGTCTTTTCGTACCGTTTTTCCGAGCTTTTCCCGAGAACGGTACCTAGTCGATCCCGTCTCATTTAAATTGTATATATATTAATTGTTATCGTGTTTGAATGACGTAATGTGCTCTTGCGATTTATTATACGTGATATGATGTTTCGTGAAGTGTGATTTTATGTATGTCGTTTAAGTGTTCGGGGATCTCTTCAATTATGAGAAATTGAACGAGACCTCGATACTCGTGTAAGTTGGTGGATTCTGGAACAATGTCGAGTCCTTGGTCTTATGGAAAGGCCTCGGACGAGAAATTATATGTTATGAATTGTGTTTTAATTTGTCGAGCTCGGTTATCGCTGTTTTAGTGTTTGAATTTTTATAAATCGCACATTGCTCAGGTTTCATTGAAATTTTGAGGGTTATGTTTTCTATTGATGACCAGACTTGTGTAAAAATTTCGCAATTTTTAAAGGCCTGTAGCTATTTTTAATAAATAAAGTGAATTCTGGTCATAATTTTATAAAATTCATAATAAATTGGTTCGTACTTCAAATGTGCTGAAATTTGAGTATGTTATGCCTTTGTAAAATGTTTAGAAATTCTGGACTGAATTTGATATGGTTAATAATTTATTTGATGAATCTGCTGAAAGTTGTTTCAATTATGATAAATTGGTTAGTCCTTGAAAAATTCTGAAACTTGGTTGAGATGCTTGTTTTGTGTGTATATTCATGCTGTTAAGAGATGAGAATTTTTGGAGTTTAATTTGGTTCGGTTTTGATTTAAATTCGATAACTACTGAAACTGGTGTGAATTTTTAAAATTAGTACAGTTAATGTCCAGGGCTGAAATTTTTACATGTTGTCTCTATCATGCTGTAACTTGTTGTGTTAAAATATCAAGTCCTGATTCATTCATTAGGTTCGGATATAAATTTATGTGCGTTTTTGCTGATATCTTGTATGAATTTTATAAATTGATGTACGTTGAGTTTGAAGCTGAAACTTATTAGTTTTTCTAATTACTGGGAGGAGTAATTTTGGTTAAAATATCAGAGTTTAATTCATAGGGAAACCTGACCAACTAATTTCATGTGTTTATTGACTATTATTTTCAAATTATGATTTTGAAGTTAAAATTTTGTAAAATTCTCTCGAGTGGGAGCCGAAATTCTCTCGAGTGGGAGCCAAAATTCCTTCTAGTCTTTGTTCGTTCTCGATTAATTGTTTCTGTTAGTGTTTTCTGATTGGCAGTTCTCATACTGATCTAGAGTAAACTTTTTCGAGTCGAGTGATCTTCGGTTTTAGGGATTCCTGGAATTGGGGAAATGGGGGACAAATCGCCAGGAAAAGTGAAATCGTGTGAGCTGGCGAGGAAATCTTTCGAAAGTTAGGGGATATATCTTTATCTGCTGTTGAAGTAGGGGGAATAGTGATCCAACAGAATGAGATTAAAGTCAGTGAGGAGGAATGTGGAAGAAGCCTGTTTGGGAAAGTGGTGGGAGATAGACTAACCAGTCTACTGGGGATTAAGAGAACGATGACCAATACCTGGAAAATCCAACAACCGATGGAAGTGAAAGAGATAAGTTCAAATTTCTTTCAGTTTCTTTTCAGTTCAGCAGAAGATAAGAAAAAGGTAGCTGCGGGGCACAACTGGATTTTTGAAAATCAGTATTTAGTGCTGAAGGAATGGTTCCCGGGATTGAGGTGCAATCATACAAATTTTGACGAAGTGAAACTATGGGTACAAGTCTTAAATGTGCCTATTAACTGGATGAGTATCGATGTTGGTCTCAAAATAGGCCAAATATTTAAAGGGGTGAAGAATGTCCAAATCTGCAAGACAGGTGGAGAGTTGGGAAGTTTCATCAAGATTTTAGCGGTGGTTAGTACGAAAGAGCAGATACCGCGGTGTACCACGGTCACACTCGGAGACCAAAAAGTTCTGGTTGCGTTTAGATATGAAAGACTAGTAAATCTATGTTATTAGTGTGGGAAGTTGGGCCACTTGGATAAAAACTGTGAGAGAAGAGTAGAAGATATAGATAGAAGGCAAGTCTCTGATGGACAGTTTGGTGAGTGGTTGAAAGCAAATGAGACATATCCTGGAGGTAGAAACAGCTATGCTAGTAGCTCAGGAAACAACCCAAACCAGACTAGACAAACCTCAAATGAAGAGCATGTGGTCTCAGTTAGTGAAACTCCTGTAGAGGTAGCTCAAATTCAAGGAAAAGGCCCTGAGAAGGGGCAAGATGATCAGAGTGGGGTGGAAGGCACTGGTGTCAGAGAACAGAGAGAGAACTATAATCCCAGAATTACCAGTTGCTCTGCAAGTGAAGAAAGTGAAGGCAAAGGTAAGGACTTCATGTTAATTGAATCAACAACTCTATTGGAGGAGGGGCTAAATGTAAGGCTTAACTTCCAAAATCTGCAACAAGCAAAGAAAGTCCAAGCAGCCACATGGAAAAGGAGAGGAACCTCTGATGGTAGACTGTTAAGGATGGATGAGGACATGACTGGATTACATAAAGAATCTTCGGGGAAGAGAAATAGAGAAATAGTCTTGTTTTCAGGAGATAGAGGGGCTATAGAAGAAGGGCTAGTGGAAAAGAAAAGGAGAACCAAATCTGAATTGGAGAAGGTGGAGAAGGCCAGCCTCAAGTGGCCCCAGGGTGATCAATGAAGGCTATGGTGTGGAATTGTAGAGGGCTGGGTGGGCCCTCTACAGTTTCCCAAATCAAGGATGTCAGGAGACTCCACCACCCAAACATTTATTTCCTTTCAGAAACTAAGAAAAATGTTGATTTTACTAAAACAGTGTGTAAAAAATTGGGGTTTGAGAGCAGGTGGTTTCTAGAGAAGCCAAATGGGACAAGAGGGGGTTTACTGCTAATGTGGGATCTTTCAATGGAGGTAAGGGAAGTGTTAGCCAATGAGTTTTGTATCCAAGCTGAAATGAGTTTTGTATATCTCAGTTGTGACAGAAATACAAGATCCAGGCAATGGGAGTTTCTAGAGGATTGTAAAAGAAGATGGGGCAGCTGCTGGGCTTTAATGGGGGATTGAAACGCTATATCTAGTAATGAGGAGAAAAGAGGGGGGGTCAGGAGGCCTGATGCAAGTTTTAATGGCTTCAGGGAATTCATTGCAAGGATGGAGATGCAAGAAGTGAACCAGCTGGGTTCTTTTTATACTTGGGGCAATAATAGATCCACTGAAGGTTATGTTGAAGAGAGGCTGGACAAAATGTATGTTTCTTTTGACTGGCTGGTGAGATTTCCAAAGATGAAACTCTCTAATTTTTTCAGGAGTGCATCAGACCATAATGTTCTCCTATTGGACACTGACGTGGAAAAGGGGAGAAGCAAGAAGAGATTTATGTTTGATAATAGATGGCTGAAATTAGAGGGTGTCAATGAGGCTGTGAAAGATGGGTGGGATATTGTGGTAGAAGGATCTCTGATGTTTCAAGTACATGAGAAAGTGAAGAATACTAGGATGGCTCTACTGGCATGGTACAAACCGATGAAGAGGAACTCTGAAAAGATGATCCAAATTCTCACAAATAAGATGGAGGAGCTGAGGGGGGAAGGTTGTGAGGTTGACTGGGAAGAATGGGGCCAAGTTAAAGCTGATCTTGACAAAGCTCATAGGTAAGAGGAACAGTTCTGGAGGCTGAAATCCAGAGCTCTGTGGTTGCGAGAGGGGGATAGTAATACTCGTTTTTTTCATGCTTACACATCGCAGAGAAGAAAGAGGAATTCAATTCAGTTGCTTCTGTCCAATTCAGGGACTGTTCTTGATATTGAGGAGAACATAGTCTCTCATATTGCTGATTATTATTCCACCTTGTTCTCATCTGAAGGAGTCAGAGGGGGAGGAGAGCTACTTCATCAAATTCCTTGCTCAATTTCAGAGGCTATGAACAATGATCTGATTACACCAGTGCAGGAAGATGAGATCAAAGCAGCACTTTTCAGCATGGCACCAGAAAAATCTCCGGGTGAAGATGGTATGTCTGCATCTTTTTTCCAGCACTTTTGGCATATTTTTAAGAGTGATGTTCGTAGTGCTATTAAAAGCTTCTTCTGTACTGGTGTTATGTTGAAGAACTGGAATCACACTGTCATCACTTTGATTCCTAAATGCCTTTATCCTGAAACTTTAAGCAATTATAGGCCAATCAGCCTTTGTGGAGTGTTGTACAAAATGATTGCTAAAATTTTGGCTGAGAGACTGAGAAAGTGTATTAATGTTTGTGTGAGCCAATCCCAAACTGCATTTATCCCAGGCAGACAACTTTTAGATAATGTAGTGCTGGCTCATGAAGTGTTCCATTATCTGCATAGGCATAAAACGGGTCCTAATGTGTTTATGGCTTTAAAATTAGATATGGAGAAAGCATATGACAGGGTGGAGTGGGAATGTGTGAAGAACACTATGGCTAAGATGGGCTTTCATTCCAAATTTATCAAATGGATCTGTGGCTGTATCTGTTCCTCTACTTTTTCTTTCAACATAAATGGAAGTGTCAAAGGATTTGTGACTCCTTCTAGGGGAATTAGACAGGGTGACCCCCTGTCACCCTATCTTTTCATCATAATATCTGAATTGTTATTAGCTTTTCTGAACCACAAGATGTGTGCTGGCCATTTCCAGGGGATAAAACTGACTAAAGAGGGGGCTATGTTAACTCATCTACTGTTTGCAGATGATGCTCTAGTTTTTTGCAAAGCAGATGTCAACCATGCTAGATTGCTGCTTGAGATTCTTGATAAATATAAAACCTTTTCAGAGCAGAAAGTTAATCTGAACAAATCATCCATGTTCTTCATCTCAAACTGCAGTGCTTCACTTAAACTTCAAATTGGCTCTATTCTCAGAGGTGTGGTAGTTAAAAGATCTTCTAAGTACCTGGGATTGCCACTGGGTATTGGTGCTTCTAAGAAAGATACATTTCAGTTTGTGACTTTAGCTGTGAAGGACAGAATTGAAAGCTGGAAGAATAATTTCCTCTCAACAGCTGGGAAAGAAGTTCTTGTTAAATCAGTATTAAATGCATTACCTATATTTGTGATGTCCTGTTTTGTGCTGCCTCAGGGATTGTGTAAGGAAATTTGTCAGATGGTGGCAAGGTTCTGGTGGTGTAAAGGTGATGTGCAAAAATCTGGGATGCACTGGATGGCTTGGGACAAAATCTCTATACCTAAGAAGGAGGGGGACTGGGCTTTCAGGATATCAAACTCTTCAACAAAGCACTAATAATCAAACAGTTGTGGAGAGTTATTGCAAATCCTGACCTTCTTGTGAGCAAAGTGCTTAAGAGTAAGTATTTCCCTACTTCCTCTTTGTTTGACTACAGTAAGAAGAGTGGTGCTTCCTGGCTCTGGAATTCATGGGCCTCCTTCATTCCTATTCTGAAGAATCATCTAAGCATTCTAATTAAAAATGGAGTGAACACAAAGCTAAATGACCACAATTGGATTCCAGAACTCCAGGATGGTATACCCAAGTTGAGGGTGCAGATTGAAGGGCACAATTTCTGTGTGAAAGACCTACTAATGGCTGGAGGATGTGAGTGGGATGAGACCATTGTCAGAGCTCTGTTTGAGGAGGAAACAGCAGATAAAATACTCCTGATTAAGCAGCTGAACCCTAGAGCTCAAGATCAGTGGGTAAGTCCTTTCCTGAACAAAGGTTGTTTCTCTGTGAAAGCTGCATATGCTATACTGATTAAGGGCAAGATAGAGAGGATGAGACAGGCTGAGAGCAGTCTGAGTGCAGAAAGAAACATCAGAGCAAGACTGAGATGCTGGCAACTGAAAGTTGCAAACAAACTGAAGCATTTTATCTGGAGATGTTTTTCAAACATACTACCAGTGAATGCCAATATTATCAGCAGGGGAATGGATGTGGAGAGTGTCTGCAGTGTTTGCGGAGAAGCTGAGGAAACTCAAGAACATGTGCTTTTTTACTGCAGTAGGGCTAGAAATACTTGGAAGTTGGCACCAGTCCAATGGAACAGAATACAGCATGACCAATTGAACTTCAAGGAATGGTGGTGGTGGATTAGTACAATGAAGAAGCAAGACATATGTGAGGATAGAATCCAACTGTCAACCTACATTCTATGGTGGCTGTGGCGTGCTCGAAATCTTTGGGTGTTTGAGAAGAAATGGCAGACTGAGACATGGATCATGAGAACAGCTATGCAAGACTGGCTGGAGTTCTCCCATTTAAGAGCTATGAAGTGACAGATTGAAAGAGAAGGCACTAGGTCTCGAGTCAGTGGTGTTCTTTAATTTTGTGTTCTGTTACTTCATTTTATTTTTCATCTCTGTTTTGTTTGGGCTTTGGTCGTGTTGATCAAGTATGTATGGTGTTATTTATTTCAGTAGGACTGATTAGGCAGTACTGTTGGGTACTTGGCCTCTCATTTGTACATTTGAACATTCCTTTGTTTGGGTAATTATATGAAAGATTATGCCGTTTGGAAAAAAAAAGTTAAAATTTTGTGATCGACTTTCTTTTCGTTTTGTTGTGAGTTTGACCTGGTCAATTCTTAGTGAGATTTATGTGAACTCCCATATGTGGTTTGGTCGAGTAAAATGCCGAGTCTAAGTGTTCCAACGTCCACAGGACTTCACGAACAACTTAGTCGAATCAAGTTCGACTAAGTCTGATTTGTGTTTTCCGTTTAAGTCAAGATATTGATTGTTGGATCTCGCCTTAATGTAAGTGTTTGAGGAGTCAAGCCTCGACCCACGTCCATTCTGAATTTGTTGTCTTCAATCCAAATATACCAGGTGGGTTGTTATTCTAAAATTAACTATGCATATGTGTTTATTTTTGTTTGAATGTGTTAAACCGGTATGATCTATGTATGCATATGAGCATGTAGCCTGATAGGCATCGGTACGGTTGTCTTCGTAGATACGGTTACCCTTACGAGGTAAATCTCCTTAAGACATTCAGATAATGCCGTGTCCTTACGTGGCACGCACTCCCGCGTCATAGATATGGCACGGTTAAGCGTAGATGTGCACATGAGTGAGCCATAGCGATGGCAAGGATCATAGACATGACTAGAGATGAGACATGATTTATTATTGTTTATGTTCATGCTGCGACCATACCATATTAACATGTTCTGAGTTATTCATATGCATAGTGTGAGTACGATATTTAACTGTACTCACTCCCACCTGCTCTTCGCGAATGCAGGTTAAGCAGTTGGCGGGTGACGAGGCAAGACGAGTGGGGTGGTCTTGCTTTTGTTTAAGACTATTATTTTAAATCCGCATTTATGAACTTACTACGGTTTAGTTGATCATGTTTGAACTAGTTCGATTTTAGAAAAGTGTTGGATGGATTTGAATCTTTGGATTATGCTTTGATTTAATTGTTATGTTGGATCTTGATAAATGTGTAGGTTCATTCTGATCTATGAGTATGTTGGATAAATTACTTTTGGTAAAATAAGTAGCGCCCACTGAGTTTTTAATTAAATTAAAATTTGCGAAAAATTTATTGCGATTTTTATTAAATAAATTCGATAAATCTTTTAAAATAAAGTGGGGCGTCACCCGCTATAGAATATTGTCCGCTTTAGGCCCACTCACCCGCACGGTTTTGCCTTTGGGAGCTAGCTCACCAAAACGCATCCTACAAGTTAAGGTATCCACACCCTCTTATAAGGCATGTTTCGTTCTCCTTAACAACCGATGTGGGATATTACAATCCACTCCCCTTGGGGACCCAGCGTCCTTGCTGGCACACCAGTCCGGGTACTGGCTCTGATACCATCGGTAACAGCCCAGTCCACCTGCTGTAGAATATTGTCCATTTTGGGCCCACTCACCCGCACGGTTTTGCCTTTGGGAGCTAGCTCACCAAAACGCGTCCTAGAACTTAAGGTATCCACACCCTCTTATAAGGCATGTTTCGTTCTCCTTAACAACCGATGTGGGATATTACACTTTCACTCGCTGAAAATGAAGGAATTTCGAATTTGTAGGTTTGTATACGAAAAGGTCGACTTTATTTACAAATGTATTCCCAACATTTTTGAATGAGAATCGTATTTAGTCAAAAGCACTTGTTATATTAGTTTATATTGTAGATAATTTGGTTCGATGTGCCGAACATAATATTATATTATATGTTCCTTGTAAATTGTAAAGCATGGTTCACAACCTAAATATAATTGAACAAACTATCGTCAAAGGTTGTAGTGTAATTTTGAATAAATCTGTTTTGACTTATGAGTTATACTAGTACATTTTAAATATATTGAATGGACCACAAAGGATAACATTATTTTACACCGACCCAGTAAATAATCTAGACATCGATTATTACTCGTACTCTTAAGCTCTAAGATAATGAATGGTTGTTACTCGTACTCTTAAGCTCTAAGATAATCTAGACATCAATGATTACTCGTACTCTTAAGCTCTAAGATAATATCTATTGTTTTGATCAACCAAAAAGTTAGATCCAATTGTTGGGTCAATGGACTAGGTGGTTAGGTAATAAATTTTAAATGCATTACTTTTCGTTGAGATGATTTACAGTCATTGTGTCCCGATGCGCCGTGTTGACGACATCCTAGAAATGAGTTCAACACATTTGTTTTGCTAATTCCTGGAGGTGGATTGAGTTTTGCATAATGAAAAGCTTGAGTGATACTAATTTTAGAAAAAATAAGTTAATTAATTATGCTGTCAGTATTTAATTAATTAATTAGATCTTAAAAATGGAATGATAAATCAAGTGAATAAATCTGGTGACGAATTAATTGTAATTCGGGTTACATATGAAGTTCAATAATATTCCTTTAGTGGAATTGAATATCATTCATGTGGATTTGGTGTAGGTGGACCAGAATCTAAGTTACCCAATCCCATGGGGAGTCCTGATTTAATAACACCTCTAGGTCCCTGCTGTAGCCTATAAATACACCAGGTCCCAAAAGAAGTCTCATATACACGTGTTTCTCACTTAAAATATAGGCCTAAAATTCGTGAGATAGCGAGAGATAAAATGGTGAAGTTCTAGGAAAGAAAAGAAAATATAATGCTCAAAAAACACAATGTCTTCTTTGTTCTTTCCCAATAACCGATCATACTTGTGACTCTGAGGGAGATTTGAGCAGTCTTCGCCCACAAAGATGAGCTTGGAGAGGTGTCGGGACAGAAGATCAAGAGGTCATCCATTCGTCTGGTCCTGTAGACTGTATAAGTCGTCTCAGAGTTGGAAAATTTTCAACCGTAAGATTTGAATCGTAACTTTAGATATGTTGCGCTTATGGTTCAGTTCTTAGATATTCGATTCGTTGTAGAATTATCGACATTATTCACCGAACTCAACAATTACCAATTTGACTCATTTTTCCAATACCATCATAAAGCTCAAAAACACATAATTACAAACAATGGTATTTGTTTTCTTTAATTAGTTTCTTATTTCATATTTATTTTCAAAGCATTAATTAATCTAGACAAGACAAGCTAAAGTTATATATAAGAACTATAATATAGTTACAAACAAGTTTTAAACATAGGCCTAATTGATTTAGATTTAGAAGAAAAACAACAGTTATATCTACCCATTCAAATATTCTTTAATATCATATTTTTATATACTTATATTAATTGTAACTACAGAGGTTTAATAAAATCACCAATTCAAATATTATCCAATCATACCCATAATAATCTTATGAGATTTAATAAAATCATAATTAATTAAAAGACTCTTAAAAATATTTAGTATCACGTGCATCCAACATGAAATTGCGCAGCTGGTGACAATGACCAACAGCAAAATTGATGGAAATGCAAATTTAGTATCTATCTATATATATAAACTAGAAGGCTACGGCTGTGCAATGTACAGCCGGCCCAATTCAAGTAGACATTTGATGGCTATGAAGCTGTGAAGAGGTAAACACAATAAGGGAATGACCATTGCATTAGTGAAATACGAATCCATAACATATGATCATCAAAAGAAGTCACAGTAGTTAGTAGACAACACCAAAATATACCAAGTGTGCATTAGAATTCAAAAGCATCTATATGCAAACAGATGCTTAGAATTCTAGGCAATACATGCAACAACAACTATATGTGAATAGATGGCTGAAATAGTGGGCAATGTAGATACAAAATACAAAAGATATGGTCCATAGAATTTGTGGTTCCCAAAAGTTTTAATATGCAGTCATAGAGCAGCTAGTCTATTTTTGGACGACTTTTCTTGTCGGGCTTGCATTAGATATTGTACTGGTTTGATGAGTTTGTTGGGTGGATGATTCAGGAATCTGGGTGAATGGGATGCTGCTTCTTGGGGTGGAGGATTGCTGATTGTAGAAGCTGATGCATTTTTTGACCGCTGATTCCGAAGATGCAATTGTTGTAGGCATTTCACGTGCTGGAGTGAGGGAGGTAAGAACATTTTTTAGCGTTGGACTGAACAGCTCTTTGTCCGTTACCTATTTCGTGGAGGTAGATTAGTTGCAGTAAGATGTTTGTTCCATAATAATTTCATAGAATTTTCATTTGTGTCATAGTTGATATTGTACCTTGGTTGAAGCTGAGGCTGATCCTTCCTTGGCTAGCTCTTTAGGTTTAAGCAATTTTTTATCTGCTTGCATGTCATCTATTGTATAAAGCTTTAGGACAGTGTGGTGAGTTAATTCGTAGTGTTTGATGAAGCAAACTACATGATGTTCATTCATCTCTGCTGTAATTTGAGCAGTCAAATCCACGCCCTGTACCCACAGAAAAAATGTATTTTACAATAGTTAAATAAAAAGGATAGAGAAAACCCAAAAAGCGTATAACAATCATGACTGATTATGGAAAGTAATAAACAACAGTATATTAATTTCCAAATAGTCATATGT